TTATTGCGTCTTGTCTCATTTAACAAATTGTCATAATATTCCATTTAGATTGACATTCTTCTCAATAAGGTTATCGATCTTAATCTAGTTCTTTTCCGTTTTTGTTTATAGACCTGAATTCATTGAATTTTTTGGTATTAATACAATAACATCAAATTCATCATCGACAGCTGCTGCTGCTGTAGCAAGTGCAGTACAAACACCTAATAATAAACCAACGATTAATTTAACGAAAATTAATAGTGTTGATACCGAAGACCCATCGACACCAGTAATTAAACATTTTAATTTTAATAATTAATATATATATATACTCAATCTAGACTGAATCAATTCGTGTCAATCTGGGAAAAACAGAAAAAGCTACGTATGTACTTCAAAAAAAAAGAAAAATTGTTATAAAATTAAATTCTATTCTATAGAGTTCAACCTGATGATTTTGAATTTAAGACATGTATCGGAAAAGGTTCATTTGGAAAAGTATATTTAGCACGACATAAAGGCGAAGATATGATCTATGCTGTTAAAGTTGTTAGTAAAGCATTAATTAAACGTAAACGAGAAGAACGTCATATAATGGCTGAACGTGATGTACTCGTTAAAAATACACGTCATCCATTTCTTGTTTCACTTCAATATTCATTTCAAACACCGGATAAACTTTATTTTGTCATGGATTTTGTAAATGGTGGTGAAGTATGATATCATATTACATTTATTATTAATATTTTTTTCTTCTATTTGATTTATTTTTAGTTATTTTTTCATTTACAACAAGAACGAGCATTTACCGAACAACGTGCACGATTTTATGCAGCAGAAATAACATCAGCTATTGGTTATCTTCATAAACTTGATATTATCTATCGAGATTTAAAACCAGAAAACATTTTACTTGATCGAGAAGTATTTACAAAAATCATTTGTTTGCTTTTTTTAATATTTTTTTGTTTTAGGGACATATTCGTTTAACTGATTTTGGTCTATGCAAAGTTATGTTATCAACAGAAGGACGTGAAGGACGAACAGCAACATTTTGTGGAACACCAGAATATCTTGCACCTGAAGTATTACGACGTGAAGCATATACAAAAGCAGTTGATTGGTGGTGTTTAGGTTCCGTTACATATGAAATGTTATGCGCTCGAGTAAAAAAATAACATTTCTATTTAATTGTTTCGTATATATATATATATTTATTTTAGCCACCATTCTATTCACGAGATGTTAATGAAATGTATGATAATATTTTAAATCGACCACTTCGTTTTATTGGAAATGTATCTGAACGTGCTCGCAATTTAATTGAACAGGTTTATTATTAAAAAGACTAAATAAATTCTTATTGAATTTTATTAAATATTCTAGTTATTACGAAAAGTTCCCGGTGAACGTTTAGGTAGTGGAGCAGAAGATGTAGCTGATATAAAACGTCAACCATTTTTTGATCAAATCGATTGGGAAAAATTAGAAGCAAGAAAAATTGCACCACCATGGAAACCATCTGTTAGTGGTCCAACTGATCTTGGTCAAGTTGATAAAGTATTTACACAAGAAACAATATCTCCAAGTGTTCAAGAACACTATTTAGGAAGTGTTACAAATAAAGATCCATTATTTAATGGTTTTACATATGTTCATGAAGCACATTTGAATGGTTAGTTTAGTCTTTTCCGGTGTGAGGATTTATTTTGTCGCAAAAAAAGAAACACACACACACGAGTCATTCATATTTTTTTGTTTTGTTTTGTTTTGTTTTTTTTTTTTATTATTTTCTTTCATATGTTATCGAAAAAGAGGAAAAAAAATAACCAGTGATGATTTCTACAACTTATTCATTCATATAATGTACATGATTGTTTTGTCTTCTTGTTCTTCTTTTTGCTTTTCTACATTCCGTTTGATGGACGAACAGTGCTCCTTCGGTTCCGAATCTTTTTTTTTGGCTTCTACTCTCATCTTCTATTATGATTTACTTTTGCTTTTTTTCATACCCGATGCATCTATGTATTTTTGTTTCTTTTTTTCTTCATGTATTGCACACATGTTGGTATGTGTAAATCAAAAAATTGGCCATGTTTAGTTATTTGTATGAGAGTTCTCTTTCATGATGACTATGTTCTTTTTTTTTCTATAATAAAAGTTTAACTGATAGGCACACTATGATATATAAGAACAGAAAAATGACACGGAGCCAATAATTATATTTTTTTGTTATCTAAGTTAGATCGACCTATTCTTTAAAAGTAAAAACAAAATTGATAGTTATAAATTATTCATCAAGTGATATATCTAATTTATACTTGATAGACATCAACAAAAAGAAGAAAATTCAAACATGCATTTCTTTAATCGAAAAGTAATCTACATATAACGTGTCATGATGTATATATCTATATACGTAGTTTGTAATTCATACGTCTTCTAACACGCATATTCTTTCATAAACTATCTAAAACTTGTAGCAAGTATCTTATTCTCTAATGCTAGTTGTTTTTTATTGAACAAATAATTAAGATTTCGTATGTTGTTTTTGTTATGAATTACAAAAAGAAAGAAAAAGAAATTTCCTGTAGAGAAATATTCCATACAAAAGAAAAGATCTTCATCTGTTGTCTTGTCTCAATGAGGATCAATGAGAATATTAACTAAGTTCTCATCTATCAATATATTCCATTCTCCTCTGAGTATACACTTCAGATCATTAAAATAATCATATTTCAAATTTCCTAAAAACAAATTAAATAGAAAAAGAGAGTTTGTTGTTTTGTTGTATATAAAATGTAATATTCTTTAATTCTGTTATCTATAATATTTATCTTTACCTTTTTTGCATCTGTCTAACATGAAATATTATCAAAATTTAAATATATTATGTCATCATCTTTTTCATTTAAAACTCCTATGGCATCATTTTCAGCAACAGATCATGCCGTTAATCAAAGTCAAGATTCATTTCATTCAATTAATCAATCTATTGCTCCACAACCTCATTCAATAATACCAATATCAACAACAACAACAACAACAACAACAACTAGTAGTCATGTTAATATACACAGTGATGATGATGAAGCAGAACATCTTCTTGGTAAACGTTATGAGTCTAATAGATTAAAACAAGAAAAATTATTAGTTTTTACAAATATTTTTCGAATTATCGTTATTTGTGTGGCTGCTCCACTTATTTATTATTATGTTTAATTTTTTTTCTTGCTGATAAATCATTCCGGTTTAGATCATAATCTTTACAATACTCTCTACGTATGTAAATGAGATAATAAAACTAGTATTTCAATCTATGTCATATAATTCATTATTTATTCAATAGAGCAAAAGTCACTTGATGATAGTCATATTTTTTTTCAAATATCACACACCAAATTCCATCATCATTATATGATTTAATAATTTCAATATCTTAAATATGTTTCCGTTTGTTCTACCCATGGTACAAGACAATCTGATCGTTGAAATTCTGTACGTGGTGTATGAATAATTAATTCATCATTTCTGTCAATTGATGATAGATTATCTGATAATGATGATTTCACATTTTTATTATTCATTTAAATTTTCCTTTTCGTTCTTACTTCCGTACTCATATGATGAATAACAGCAATACATATAGCTCCATCAAATGTATCATTTGATATAGATATATTCATACAATCAGAAAGAAATACTTGATATTGACGATCACGACATATTTTCAATAGGCCTTCACTTCGATCACAACCGATATCAAGTACAATTGAACCTACGGATAAACTATGTATGAATTCATATATTGAATAAGAGAAAATGTTCTTTTTTTGATTTCTTAATGGTGTTATTTATTTCATGTTAAAATAAATAAATGAATAAATAAATCCCAAGAAAAAAAATCGAGAGAATAAAATGATTAAAATTAATCTTCGATATTAATAACCAACACGATCACGTGGAATAATTCGAAGTTCGGCGCCATGTTTAAGAAAAACATTACCTAAATAATAAATCATACATTAATAAAAAAAACAATAATTTTTCGTTTTTGTTTCATACCAGCTGTTTGAGATGGATTTATTCCAATACCATCATTAGTAATAATTGCACTTGTTGCTGCTTGAACTTTAAACTATAATTTTAAAGAAAGATCTTTGTTTTTTGTTTCATAAAGGAGAGAAATATGAAATTACTTCTTCAGCGGCAAATTTCAAAACAGCGGTAAATGGTGTATTTTCAGGTACACTTAAACTACGAAAAGAAAAAAACAAAAATATTCAATAAAACTTATTTTTCGTCATAAAAAATATTTACACTTTAAATGGTAATTTCGGATCAGATGTTAATGTTATTTTAAATGTTACTTTAGCATTACTAGTAGCTGTTGATGTTGTTGTTGTCTGTTCATTAGATGCCATCTAAAATCGAGAAAATAATCTTCAGATTATTATTTATTCTCGACAACAAAACAATGATATATTAGAAAAAAAAAACAAGAACAAATTTTGTATTTTTCAATTAGTTCAATCAATTTTTTTTCTTTTTTCTTCTGATTGTTGTCCATTTTCTGTTATTAAACCACGTTTTAATCCTTTCATTTTTCTTGTTTGTAATTGATTATAATCTTGTTTCTCCATATGTATTCGACCCATTTTTGTACCTAATTCATTTGTTGTTACATTTTTAACTTTCTTCTGTTTAATAGCATCTGGTTGTTTAAGTGTTTTCTTATAAAAATCATCTGATGCTAATTTTGTTCGACGAACAGTTAAATCAATATGTGGTCCAATTTCATTTAATTCAATTCGCGGTATACGATGACCAGATTTTTTTAATTCAACATGATAAACACGTATAGATAATAATTTTGTTTGTGAATCGATTGTAAATGTCATAACATGTTCAAGACCATTGAGATCAATTTCTTTCATATTTATTTCACCACGAAAAAAATCAGTAAGAAAACATTTCAAACGTTTATAATCGGGTTCATTATCAAATAATTCACCATGAAATAATAAACATGGTTTGTTTCCTGTTGCAAATTTTTCACATTTAAAATCATCTAATGAACGAAATGTTTTACTATTTAATTCAAATTCAAACATATCTAATGTTATATGATTATGTAAACGTGCTAAAACAAGATTATTTGGTCGTTTTTTATTTGTTGTTACAAATGCAAATAATGAACAATCAGATTTTTGACAATACCATTCTAATTTCGATGTACTATCAAATGGTAAAATATCAAGATTTTTTCGTTGATACATTTTTGAATGTGGTGATTTAAGTAAATGAAGATTTTTTAATAAAACTTTCATCACATTATTTGTTTTATTTCCACGAATGCACAATAATGAACGAGCATTTTCAAGTAATTTTGGTTCACGTTCTTTTAATGCACGTTTACCACGTTGGGTTTTTGGACGTTGGACACGTTGTAATTTAACCATTGTAAAAGATTAGATAGTTTTTTAATCTAAAAAATTTTTAATCATTCAATTAATGACAAGATATGAGAAAGAAAAAGAGAGATTTGATAGATTAATCATATCAAATGAAATATATAGAAGATAAACAACAACAACAACAACAAAGTAAGAAATTGTTTTATTTTTATTTTTTAGGTTTTTCTTCTGAACGATCTGATGATGATGATACTTCGTCATCGCCTGGTTCATGACGCCGTGATTGTGTTTCAGCTTGTGCAGCCATTAAACGTGTTACATATCCTTTAGCTTTTTGTTTACGAAATTGTTCAAATGGATCATCTTCATGACCAATACCTTTATATTGATCCATCTTTCCCTCATTATTTACATTTGTACTTGCTGCGATAGGTTCAACAATACCTTGTTCACGTCGACCAAGACCGATACCCTCTTGCCAACCTAAAATATAGAAAAATATCCACGGTTTTTTTTGATTTCGTAAATTAATTTTTTTTTACCCATTTTCTGAAGAAGTTTATGACCAACATTTGAATCAGATAATTTATGTTGATGATGTGAACGATGATATGATGGTTCATTTGATGAGCTAGAATTTAATTCTCAATTATAAGAAAACGTTTTTCATGTTAAATATCTACCTATGAGGTGTAAAGACTGTGGAGAATGATGGTGGAGATGTACTACGAGATCGAGATCTTGTTGATGGATTAGTTTTTGATGAATATTGCTTATTATACGGAGGTGATCCTGATCGAGATCTAATAAAAGAATTTTATCAATAATGAAACAATAAATTGGATAAATAACCTAGATCTTTTTTTCTGTTGATTTGTAGTTGAATTTTTTTTTGACGATGAAGATGCTGATGATGATGATGAAGAAGACGATGAAGCTGATGATGAGGATGATGAAGATGATGATGAAGATCTTGATGATGAACCTGATGAACTCTTTGAACGACTTCTATTAACTCTTTGTCGTTTATCTTTATTATCTTGATGAATTGTTTCATTGATAATACGTTCTTTTGAAAACTTGTGTATATTCTTTACTTTATAATATTCAAATAAACCTAATCGTTCCCAACCCTCACTAAAATATGAACAAATTGTTATATTTTCAAATCATTATCTGAAAAAAAACATACGCATTTCTTGGTGTTTCATGTGTTGGTAACATATAAAAATTTTCAACAGCTGTTAATAATCGTTCTGATATTGGTGCTGATGGTGGTAAATACATTTTTGTTGGATCAATTGGATTATAATCACAATCTTCATCCTAAAAGTAAGATATAGAAAATAAAACAAAATTAAAAAATGATATTAAATTTTACTCTAACTAATAAACACATAAGACCAGCTGGTAAATCATAATATGGTATTTCATCTGTAACCATATTTAAATCAAATGGTGGTTCAATTTGTGTATTCATATTATTATTTCCGTAATCATCATGTTGATTATTATTATCATAGTGAGATATTGGCATTGACATTAATGCTGGAGGAGTATTATCATATATATTTGATGGTGGTCGAAGACCTTTGAAATAAATAAATAAAGAATGATTAGTATAACTAATGAACTATTTACTAGGATTATCTCGATTATTTTCATTGAATGGATTTAATGACATTAGTGGAGGTGGTTGTTGAATAGAATTATTTGATTGAGATGGAGGCGGCATTCGAGTTAACATATTTGGTGGAAGTGGTGGACCTATGAAATCATATTGAGATTAGATAGAATGATAAGAAAAGAAGAGTGGAAATACCAAAAGTATTATTTAATAAATGAGGTGGAGGTGGTGGTGGTGTTTGTTGTTGAACTTGATGAAATTGAACAATTTGTTGTTGAATTTGATTAATTTGTGTTTGAATATGAAGAGCAAATTCTGCATGTTGTCTTTCAAGTTGTGCATAGTTTTCGTCAAAACTAATTCCAATTGCTTCAATAATCGGTGCATATTCAATACGAATAGCATCCTTTTAATAAAAAAATAAAAATGAAATTATAAGAATAGATTTTCTTTACTTCATAATGTTTTTTTGCTTGTTGAACATCACAAAGTTTCTAAAGACAAAAAAAAATAATAGAGAATATTTTAATTTTTTATCTTTTATTTTACCCCCATAATATCATCATTGAAATATTTGTTTTTTCCCCAAAGATCAAGTAACTGTATGAGAAAGGATGTGGAGAAAGATTTTATAATAAATCTTTTAGAAATTTATTATCCAGTTATTTTTAATATCTCTACCTTGACCAATTTTTGTTTACGCTCATCATTTGATTGATCAATAGCCAAACAATAACTTGGAACAATTATTTTACTCAATTGGATTCGAAGTTCATCATTACCTTTACGAAGACTAATAACAAAAAAAAATCAAATTCAGATAAGATAAGAACAAAAGAATATTTATCTAACCAATTATGAAGTACATCATTAATTAAATAAATTAAATGAAGATAAGTATCACTTGTTGCTTCAGGTGCAAATAGACGATCAATTAAATATAAACAAATTGTTTCGGCTTGCATTGGTGTTTGACTATAATTAAATATACAATTTCGACCACTCTAAAAAAAAGAGAAATTTGTGAAACTAAAAACTAAAGAATTTATTTTACAGAAATATTATCTTTTGTACAAGCTTCGACAATCGCTAATATTGTTCGATCAAGTTCATTCATATCGATATTAGATTCATTTGCTTGTGCTGAAATACGTGCTTGTCTAGCAGCACGAATATTTTCTTGAACTTTTGTCTAATAATAAAAAATAAAATAAATATTCTTTTTTTTTCGAAGAATAAAACAAATACTTTTTTATTTATTTGCATTGAATCATGTTGTGCAGCAAGATTTATTTCACTTTGTCTTAAACGTTCTTGTAATGCTTGAATTTGTTGTTGAAATGCTTGTTCAATAACAACTGCTGGAGGTGGAATTGGAGGGATAGGCATTGGTGGTGGTGGAGGAGGTCCAGATTGAAATAAATGTGATGGTGGTGGTTGCTAAAAACAAAAAAGAAGTTTAGATATGAGAATAAATTCTTAAATAAACATACTGTCCATATAGGAGGTGGTGGACCATTTGTTCCGGGTGGTGGAGGAGGACCAGTAAATGGTGGTAATGTTGGTCGAGATGAGTGATGTGACATTGGTGGTGGTGCAAGAATATTTGGTGGTGGTAAATGAAAAGGATTTGGTGGTTGTTGATGTACTAATATAAATATAAATATAAAATAATAATAAATAATTATTTAGTATATTTACAAGCTTTTTCGGCTTGAACACAAAATGCATAGTAATGTTGATAATCACCACCATGTAGGAAAGAAAATTTAGGATTATTTTCATGTTTTTGTCTTGCTGCTGTTTCAAATTCTGGACCATTACCTAAAATTAAATAAGATTATTCGATAAATTTCATTCATTTCATAATATCATACGAGCAACAAAACTAGCAAGTTTTTCAATAATATTTCTTGTTTCTGGATCTAAATAATGGTTAATTTTTATAAATTTTAGATTAAAATTTATGAATAAATACCGTCTGGAGGTTGTGGTATCGACATGCTTATTTTAGATTTTGAAAATATTGGATTTGTCTATTGAAGAGTCGATTCTTAACACTTTGTTGCCTTTTTTCGATGCGCCACTCTCATCGGTGAATTAATTCGACCAATAGTACCAATTCATTTTAATAAAATATATTTCTTTTGAAATAAAAAGATTTATATTTTATCAAATTAAACAATTTTGAAATTTAATTTATTTTGTCTTTTTTATAAAATTAGAATTAGTAGTGAAGTTGATATTATTTAATAACTGGTTAGAGACAACCAATGAAATGATTAGGAGAGAAGTTAATATGACGTCAGCTGACTGAACACCATCACGTGGACTTTTTTTACTTCCTTCGAAATCAATAGATCAAATTTCTTCATATATA